GATTGGCCTATAATAAACTTTTTTATAGGTAGTTAATATTCTCTTCCAATGACTCCCCCTCCAAATTCGTTGTTTGGGGAATTCTGGGAGTTGAAGTCCACCCATCTTAAACTTGCCAAGGTTGAGAAACACTGCATTAGAAGTATAAGTCATTGCAACAGAATCTAAACTACCTAGAACAAGGTTCATTATAGGCCAGTCCAGGAAAGGTGCTATAACTAGCTGGAACTCTCTGTGGAACATCCACAATTGCCTTTGACAAGGATAAGAGGCTCCCAGGTACCATGAGAATGTGAAATTCTGCCCTGTATTTACACCCTTCTATTGAATGCTGCTGAGCCTTCTTTCATTGCCTTGCCTGTGAATGTGTCCCACCTATGCCATACTTTGCAGGTAAAGTTATTCTGTGGCTTGGCTTTGCTTGGTAAATCCTTTCAGCTTCTCCTTCAGTTGTGTGCACATTGCATACAAATCCAGAAATCTCTCTGCCCACATTTTGCTACAGCAAAACAATCGATGACTCTTTCTGTAGTGTAACTAGGTGTATTTTGAATAGGTCACCAATCCTTCTGATGCCAACAACCATCTTCGCAATGCAACACTGTGCATGTGTGGCCCAAGAAGCATCTTCCTGCATCTTACCGTCCTGGCTATAGCATGTGGAGGTCTATCAGCCAAATCTTACCCATATTTACCCACATAAGGAAGCCCCATTGAATTCTGAGAGCTGACTTCCAGATAAGGCTGAAATCCTGAGCATATGGATTTCCAAGTAAGCTTCATTGTACTTAATAGATCCTACATATTTACAATGCATAGGAAAGGATTGTTTATAAGCCTTTGACAATAGCCAGCCAGATGCCATGCAATTGCTCCCTATGGACTTCATATTTAAATGAGACAGAAAAGGACAATGGAAGTCAAGGAGATTGGGTATTTAGTAGATGTGTGGAAATGATTTTATCCTTTGCCTTTATGAACCTCTAAAGACATACCAGTCCCACTATCACATATGCTTTTTTTTTTTTTTTTTACTGCTGACTGCATTCATGTAATATTCAATATTTAGCCTTGCAGTTAAATCTTTCAAAAGCAGACACATATTTATTCCAGGTTAAGTATTTGTATATAATCAGAAGCAGGAAGAACTCTGCAGTTTTATCATACTTATATTTAAATTTCAATTTTGCTTTCAGTTGCATATTATTATCTTTACTTTTTAAAGGTGCATCATAATTTGCTTCTTTTTCTTTGATGTGTTCTGCAAAAATACATATCAGAGTTGTGCTAATTTTCATACACATACAAATTACAGATGGTTGAAAATTTAGGTGAGCATATATCATATTATAAGCTGGCTGTTTTATTTTGCAAGTATACAATTAGGTTAAGTTGTGGAACCATCTTGAGAAGTGTGTCCCTTAAAAGAAGCACACAAATATTTTAAATTCTGTTTTTACATAATAATGGTATAAGAATTAATGGTCTGAAATGAATATTGCAAGATAGAAAGGAGAAGGGTAATATACTAGATGCTTAGGATACAGATAATTATTGACATATTATTTGCAGTTCATCCATGTGTGAGTTCATAATCCTGCACAGAAGCTGTGGATCAAAGTGAATGTAAAACATCTGCAGACATACATTTTCTACCCATTTTCTGTCAAATATCCTTTTTCTCATCATGCTAGTTTTAGTAACTCTCCTCCATAAAACTTGGTAATATTTTCCAAAGGCTCAAATGTTCTCTAGGTTTTGGATATGATATTTGATTTGTGATTCAGTATTATAATTAATATTATTGCATGCTGAATGCCACAGAGCACTTAGAAGTAATAACAATCTATTGGGGTATGATTTATGCATTTCCAAAATTTAAGCATTCATTTTATCAAATTTTTATAACTGAAATGGAAAATCACTTTTTAATCCAGAAAAAGAATTGAAAGGGACTTCCGGTGAGGAATGGCGAACTAACACCCTACAATTTTTCCGCTCCATAGATCGGGGGGGGGGGCATTATGGTCAAAAAGGGAGCTGGATGCTAGATCTGAACTGCTGAAATTCTCTCTGGATCAAAGAGAGATCTTGAGATCACCTATATGTACTCTGGACAGCTGTTTTTTGTGAATAGACGGCAAGAATCAATGTTTTTGCAGTCGTTTGTGATCAGCTGGGAGTTGCGGGTTCCTTTATGCTCTGAGCTGTTAATGCAGCCTTTTATGGACTTAAGGCTTGACCAAACCTCATTTTTTAAATCACTTTGGAGCCTTTTTTTTTTTTTACTTTTTTTTAAGATTGAAAAACCTTCAGACCCACAAGTTTTGTATTTGCTGGGTGAGTCTCTCTTCAATCTGTTTAAAAGGAAATAAAATTACATGTTTTCAGCTTTGTAAATTCTTTAATGTTTTCAGTACACAGCAAAAGGCAATTATAGTGTTCTTTTTGGAAAGTTTTTAAATGCTAAGGGTTTGGATGAAATTGATTTAAAGAAAGACTTTGAAGTTAATAAGAAAGATCCTCTTACATGGGATTAATTTTTCTTGCTTACATTCTAAGCTGCTAACAAGGCTTTGAAGGCCGAGTACTAGAGGGCACCAGATGGCTATTTGATATGTTGGCCCAAGAAGTGTTTGAGTTATTTAACTCTATACTGGAATCAAAAGTTGCTTTTGAAGAGGAACAAGTCCCTTTGAAGATAACCGAAATGGATTTTAAGGTGGACTTAAAAATTACAACCTACAAGAAAGAGATGGAAACATTGGATTTACAAATGGATGTTCATTTAAAGATTAAGAAAGGCATACAAATAACATACCAAAAGAGTGATATGGATTACCTTTTTAAATTGGAATATAAGAGATCTACTTGAATTACTATACAGAAATTACAAATGGACTTGGATAAAGATGACAAGAATTCTGAGAGAAGAGACAAAAACAATTGAAGAAAGCAGAAGCTAGAATTTTACTTATGGGACTTAAGGATTGCTGGAAGGAAGAAGAAAAAAAAATACAAAATTGGTTTATTTGGTTATGGTTAAAAATGAGTTGCTAGCTCTGGTGATGTTTAAGGGTTTGATTGAATAGTTCTTTTTGGAAATGTTCAACTAGCTATAATGGATTAGTTTGCTACATCTACATTACTATTTTTGATATGTAAATAAGTGGTTACTATTTCTGGCAATATATAATAGTTTTTAATTTTTGTAACATTTAATTGTTAATTGGGATTTGATTCTGATTATTAAAGAGAGGAATTAGGGGGATTTTGATTAAACAGAAAGGGGGGGCTATATACTTATGTTGTTAGGTATTTCTCTTAACTTTTACTGGACCTTTGCTGATTAATAAGGAGAGCTCAAGATTTAGAGATGAGTTTATTAAAAATGGGATGAGGTATGGAATGAAGATGCATTTGGTTCTATTTTAAGAGAAGCGATAAGTTGTTAATGTTGAATATACTTGCTAGGGATGAAGGAGGAACTTTCATTTTCTTATTCTTTCCTTCTTTTTTTCTCTTCTTTTTTGGGGGGATTTTTTCTGCACTTTTAAATTTTTCTTTCAATGTATTGTTATATTAGGTTTTTGTATTAGTTTTATCTGTTTAATATAATTCTTAAGAAAATTATTGGAAAAAAAACCCAGAAAAGAACTGAAAGAAAGTACAGCACCGCTAATATAAAATATATACCTACAAATAATGAATATATTGACACATTAATAAAACTGTGACCAGAACTGATATTTTTCTGTTGTACAAAGAATTGTGCAGTCACTGTTATGCTGTGGAAATTGTAACTGAGCTCAACATAAGAAAATAGTAAAATACAATAATATTGACATTGTGCAATCTAATATTTGATTAATTGTGCTCAGGTCCATAATTTCTTATTTCTTTAACTGTCCACTTGAGAAGCATAGTTGGGCTATTTTTTAAAAAAATGAATTATTTTTATTTCTAATGAACATTTGAGATGTTCTTGTAATACTTTAAAAGAATGAAAACATGGAGAAATATTATTCATGGATAAACTGTCTGCTAATTTATCATATGCACAAAATATATACTTACTGTCACACACCTTACTTGATTCTTTGGAGTTTGATTTATCTACAAAAGAAGAAATGAGAAAAATAATCATCCTTTATTTCCTCATATAATAGCTAAGACAATATGGTTAATAGGAAACAGTATGAAGAGATACATTTATTGAAATTAAGGTGGGAAAATCATCAGATTAAACGTGTATTTGCATGTGCAAAAAAAAAAAAAAAGCTCAGACTGACATCTCACTCACCATCACTCAGCAAAAGTCCATCAATGTTTCTTTCTTAGCCATATTATATAAGTTTTTAATGCAGTGGAATCTGCACCAAAACCATAAGCTTCAGCTTATTTCATTCAACTGAAAAGATGGATGTGGTCCATGATCAATTCTTAATATTATCCAAGGACACATCCCTTGAAACGGAAAGCAGCCAAAATCTCTGTTCTCCTATTATTTTGGTCCTGTTATCAGTACTTCCCTTCAGAAAAGCAACTTTGAAATGGAAAAATCATCACTGAGATTTTGATTAGAGATGAGCCAAATACAAGGAGTGTTTGAAACTATGAGTTCAGATTTGAGGCATGCTACTCACATCCTATTCATGTTTTCCAAGAATGCCTGTGGACAAAGTGTGGAGGGAGTAAAGAGCAGGAAGAGATGAAACTGTCAAAAATGTGCATTTTCTCATCTTAAATTGTTTTGCAACTGTTTGCATTTTAAAAGGTCAATATGAATTTCTGTAGACATCTTCTTTGCTCTTCCCCTAATGTATATGTTCTAGTAAATGTTTTTATCTAATATTTACCTTTTTACAGGTACTTTTCTTACGTATATGCATCTCTTACAATATTCTTAATTAGAAAATGGTCATAAAATTTGCAGAAAGGAAGGGCAATTGCATTCAGTTTGCATACTGGCCTAGAGGTGTAAATTAGAGATGTTTACATTTGGATTTCTCCTCTGTCTCTAGGGAGAAGGATATCCATGTATAAGCAATGCCCCAATGCCCATGTCTTCTCATTGCCTCCACCATGGCATGACCTTTTAGACCTTGACTGAGAAGGTCTGAAAGGGGATTCCAAGCCAATGTAAATTCAATTCTAAATTGAAAATATTTAGAATCCCTTGCTGCAATCAGAAACCCACACTTTACGGCCTCTCATCCTTTGAAGGCATGAACAAGCCTTCAGATGCTACCTTTGGACCTTTTGAGGTTGATACTGGAGCTTATATCTTATACCTATAGCAAGTGGCAGCATCTCTCTGACTAGGGCTGATCTCAAGAAAAGTAAGTAGTGTTAGACCAGATACTGTCATGGGAGACAACCAGGAATTTCCATACTGGGAAGTTGAACAAATATCCCAGAAAAGGAAGACAATGACAAGCCAATTCAGTATTTCTGCCTAGAAAAATACATGTGCGTGTCCCAGAAATCACTTTTGAATTGAAGGAGTCTTTGCTTATATTTATCCTGCTTCCACAAACACTTCCAGCTGACAGTTTGAGACAGATTACTCCTTGGGCCTTGAGATGTAAATGTCACATCATGCAGCCCAGAAAAGAATGAAGGCAACTAAACTCTGTCATTGAGTTCATGGAGATGGTATGTTGACAGGGCTGAGCTGGCTACATTTATCTTCTCACTTTTCCCACAGAAACATTTTTTTTTTTTCATTGAGGAAGAGACAGAGAGAAGGAGACAAGACAAGGCAGAAGAATGAAAGCAGGATTGCAGCATCATGACACAAAGATCTGCCTCCTTTGTTTGTGTATCATGAAATTGGATGCATGTACAAAAGGGCAGAGCTTGCAGGACAACACTGCAATACTGCTTTCATCATTCTGATAAAAGCAGAATGTTCCTGCAGATGTCCATGGGATAGAATCAGAAAGATAGAAAAGAAACTTGGAAATGGAACTACTTGAGTATCCCTTAAATACTTAGAAGTTAAAAAAAAAAAAAAGTAACAATTTTTAAGTGTTCAGCTTAAACATCCAAAGAGTCAGCTGATTTTGGACATGGACAAAGATACATTTGCCTACATGTTTATGTATGAAGCTATTGTATAGTCACTAAGGCAATTTTCACAAGAGATACTACAGTATCAACATCTTTCTTCTACATTTAAAATCTAATAGCTTTTTAGATGATATCAAGAGAACTAATGATTAAATCCCCTCTAGGCTTGTCATTATCATTCCATGAAATATTTGGAATCAAGCAACACTTTTTTTAAAGTAAGAGAAATACTTAGTGCAAACTACAAACATGTCATGAATAAGTACATCACAGCAGTTGAAACAATTTTTAATTTTTTCATATGTTTAGGTCTCTGTGACATTTAGCTTGTGTTATTCTGAGTAAATATTAACTTTATATAGAGTTAACTTTAATATTAACTTTATGTATTTATATAAACCTTAACTTTATATAGAGTTTTCCTTTATACCAATCTGTTGTTTTGTTCTGCATTTAATCTTGTACGCTGATTTAGCCATCTAAATAGAAACATGTTGAAGTCCACATTCTATACCTATATTTGCCCACAGTATGCAATGCAACTTACTTTAAAGATCCACATAGACTGCACTGCTAGATATTGTAAAACATAAAGAATAATGCCTATGCCACAGAGTGTTCATCTCCACTGAAAGTATTTATGCCACAAATCAAGTTGGTTAAAAGAATTTAGGCCACAAAAGATGACATGTCTGGATAAACTGCTACATTTTGTCTCTGCATTTGGGTTCATACAAACTGAATTCTGTCAGAATGATGTTTCCCAGACAGATAGAAAAGACTACTCACGGAGATAGCTAAAGAGACAAATTCAAGGTTGTCCATTTCTTGAAATGTGAAATGTGTATTTTTTTAAACAACTCTGACACTTGCTTTAGATAATATCAGCTTCACTGAGTTTCTTTTTACCTTGTTCCACTGCCTTCCTAGGTCTCTCTTCTTTCTTTTCATGTAATGCTGCAAAACAAAGATAAGGTACATGTAACACTTTCTAGTCTCAAAGAGAATGGCTTATGTAAACAAAGGTCTTTTGAAAAAGCATTAAATCTCTACTACTTATTGAAAGTGACTTTTCACAATATTGATTAGAACATAACAGAAAATTTAAAATTATGTAATAACATTGCATTGTTTGTATCTTCTAAGAAATCTACAAGTAGATTAGAATCTTGTACAACTGCAGAGAGAAAAAGAACATGATAATTATAGTGATATAAAATCCTACAGCAAGTTGGTCAACCTGAATGCACTTACCTAGATGTCTATCCTACTGAAGTTAGTGGGAGAAGAATATAGTGCATTAATAGACATACAGTACTAAGATCGAGAGGTCACAATTCCTCTCTACTTTGGCCAAACCACACCTAGAACATTGCATCTGATTCTGAACACTGCATTTTTTGGAAAGACATTGACAAATCGGAGCATATCCAGAGGACTCAAATCAATAATGATAAAGTGCTGAGAAGGAAAAACCTACAAGGAATGATTGGAAGGTTGTATGGTTGAGAAGAGAAGACTGAGGGAAAACATAACAGTTCTTATTAAATATCTGAAGGGCTGTCCTGTAAAAGATGGAGCAGAATTGTTCAGAATTGTTCCCAAAGACAGGACAAGAATCAATGAGTTTAAACTGTAAGAAAGTAGATTGGTTGTACATCAGGAAATGTTTTCTAATGGTGAGAGCTGTTCAATAATGAAAGAACCCATCTTGGGAGGTGGTGGACATCTCTTTGCTGGAAGGGTTTAAACAGAGGTTGGATGGCCATCTGTCAAGAATACTATAGCAGACTGGACAGGGGACTGGTCTAGATGGCATCCAAGATCCCTTCCAGTCGTTGTTTTCTATGATTCTATGAACATAATTCAGGAAATGTAGATTTAGTAATGTGTGCTAAATGTATAGTGATCAAAAAACTGCTTTACTTAAAGGTTGATATAGTTTCTTTTGAGATGTGTTTCATTCCTGATCCCTTTGAAGATAGCTACATTGTTTTGTTGGCAGCAATATGGATATGATTCCCCACTGCTTTCTTCTGGGGTGCTTGTTTCCTAGCCTAGCCTAGCTTACTTCTTTGGTGTTCCTTAGGAGTCTCCTGTGCAAGTATTAACAAGATCCCATCTTGTGTAGCTTAGACTCTCAGATGAGGTCAGCAGTATATAATGTTAACTGAAGCACTATGGCTCCTGCTGCAATAAATCTATCAGTTTCAGCTAATATGCCAACAACATCCTTTCTTAGAACAAAATCTAAAAACAGTGATGCATGCACTGTAACTCCTATGTTTGATTACTGTTTAAGCTCTATGGGGGGCTGTCTTTATGACTGCTCCAGCAACTTCAGTTTTTACAGAATTCAGAAGCCGGACTAGTCTCTTGAAAAACTCAGACCATTTTAAAGTTGTGTCAAAGGCATTACACTGGCTGTCAGATTATTTCTGGATGAAATTCATAATGCTGGTTATTATCTTACATGTCCTCTGTGTCTTGACAGAGGACACACTTTTCTACAAGGTTCTCCCATCTTCCCCACTCACTGAGAACATCTGAGGCAGTTTGCCTACAGTTTCTTCTGAGTTCTTCTGGTGGCAACTTGGGATCAAGCGCTTTGGACAGATCTTTTTTTTTTTGTCTGCACTCAGTCATTGCTGACCCTGCAGTGACTGCT